ACTCTTTGAGAAGCACTGGACAACTTCAGGCTCTATGACAGAGCAGGGTACTGAGCATCCTGAGGATTTTTTGCCAGTAAGTGGCATTCCTCTGTATTTCTCTAGGATACTCCATTTTGTCTTTTTGATATTCTACTGTCATTGTTTCAATTAGCTGGCACTTTCTAAAATGCAAGATCATACTGGGCCAGATTCACTGCACTCTTTGAGAAGCACTGGACAACTTCAGGCTCTATGACAGAGCAGGGTACTGAGCATCCTGAGGATTTTTTGCCAGTAAGTGGCATTCCTCTGTATTTCTCTAGGATACTCCATTTTGTCTTTTTGATATTCTACTGTCATTGTTTCAATTAGCTGGCACTTTCTAAAATGCAAGATCATACTGGGCCAGATTCACTGCACCGTCTGCCTTGGGAAAAGACAGCACAAACCCTATCTGAGCTCCTCCAGAGCAATAACATCCTCCCCGAGCTGGGTTATACTGGTGCAAGCTAATCACATCCTGTGCAAACAACAGTGGTCTGCAAAGCCCTAAAGTGGAGGGCTGGGTTTGGCTAGGGAGGGCAGGAGATGACCCCTGTGGAATTTAAAGCTGCCCTTTCCTACAGGAAAGGCAACAATGGAGATGTCATCTGCATGTGGCCAGTGGTTAACCCACCCTGAATACACAGCAGGCAGCACTGACACAAAGAAGTACCATTTGCACCAGCAGGGTATATGTACGCTGCTGTTTCTTTGCTTCTGCAAAATGTCTGTATTGGGTGGCTTGATTCCAGACCCACTGCAGTTTGGGTGTACAAAGATTGTAAGACTGGGGTTTGAGTACATTTGCAAAATGGCTGAAATTTGCAGGAGGTTACCAAATTTCCTGCCAATGCAAGTACCCAGCTTTTTCATGTGAAGACAGAGAAAACAAATCTACAGTTTGCATCTCACCTGAGCCATCAGTTTTTTGTTTGTAAATTATATCTTTAGTGGTATCTGAAAAAAAAATGGTGTCATCCTGGGCACAGAAGTCAATCCCAACAAAGTATGAAGGGCTCCCAGTTACTGGGATAATCACATCTTCCTGAGTGGAGAGATTGAATGGGATCCCACGCACTGCCAACTGCGATGAAAAGAGCAAAAACTGTTGCACCGCTATAAAAGAAAAGAACAGGTATAGATTTCAGTGACTTCCTCTGATTCAGATTATTCTAAATTAATTAAATGTAAAGTAAGGAGCTTTTTAATTTTATTTTGCAGTATTTGTTTCGGTAATAAAATTTAAACACCTAAAATGGAGAGAATGGGGAGGGGGAGACAACACAGTGAGACAGAGATGGATAGAAGATGAGAGGGGAAAAAAAGAGGGAACAGAAAACAGCACAAATGGAATTTAAGCAAATAGAAACTGAAAAAGGGAAATGGAATAAAGAAGAAAAATAGACCCTCAAAAAGAACATGGTGATGTGGCAGGGTCCTCCACTTCCACAATAACTACGGGACTAATATCTCTTTAAAGAAAACCTTATTCCAAGGAAAGCAGGCATCTCAGCTCTCATTAATTTCCATAGTGATGATTTATGCAAACAGAATTTATAGGCTCTGTGGGGTCACCTCTGCCACCAGACCATATCTGCTCTTTTCTGGCACTTGTAGCAACAGAAGTGCTGCTCCTAAGTCCCATGAAAAGACAAGAGTAACGAAGGAATTTGTTACATTTGCAACTGTCAACAGGTCATGGGAAAAGTGCAGAACAACTTAGCATATCTAGTCCAACACTGGCAATGAAAAACAGCGTAAGGACACTCTGCATACCTGTTTATACATTTTTCTAGGCAAAACTGGAACAGAGTAGCCTCCATGCTCCCTTATCATTTTTTTTGGTAGCAACTCCTCCTGTTTTCCCAGTTCCCTCCCTTTTAATCTCCCAAAAGGGTTCGGTTCTTGGCACACTCTTCTTTTTTATCTCCTTTCTTCTTCTCCGTTATTCTATCTCTCTCCGTTATTACTTTTTGTAGATGGTACACAGCTATGGCATTCATGTTTTGAGGTAATTTCCTGCCCTGGCCATTTAGAGATACAATTTTATCCACAGCAGTGGTACTTGCCATAGCTACTAACACACTTACTTACCAATGCAATGTCGCCCTTCCACATGGAGGTCAAAGCCCAGAGTGCATTTGCAGCGGTAGCCCAGTCCATCATTATCCGTTTTGTGACTGAGAACACAGATCTGTTCGCAACCTCCATTATTACTTCCACAAGGATTTCTCACTGTAAAATAATATGGATGGGATTTAATATCCATGCTTTATACTTTCCATACATTCTCAAGTAGACATTTTTTTCATATGGCATATCATTTTGCAGCATATTGCCTGGTGAGGGCAGAACTCCAATGGGAAAATATGACCTGGTGGATCTGATCCTACAAGATGATTAATAATTCCCAGAAAGTGCTGATCATCATCAACTATTGCTAAAATAAACTGGCATTCAAATTGCTAAGCACCCCACACGAGGCATTTAGCACTTTACTGTTTGGGGCCATGGCTTTTTTAAGATCAACTCTTTGGTCTATAACTTTCTGCATCCAGGCAATGGCTACAGGAGAGCTTACAGAGTTGCAGCTCTCTCATTGTAGCATCTCTGAGCAAACAGGAAAGAGCTCTTACATCAACTTCATTAATCTACCCCCAGGAGCTATGTCAGTGAGAGAAGCTCTCTAGCCAACACAGCGCTGTTCACACTAGCGCTTAGGTTGGTGGAATTTAGGTTGCACACAGGGTAGCTTATTCACATCCCTGAGTGACATAAGTTATACCCAGATAACTGGTACTGTAGCTATAGCCCTACATTCAATACAGAATTTTGTCACTAAGAGCATGATCCAATTGCCATGAAAGTCAATGGATATATGTAGGTTGAACCTTTCTAATCCAGAACTCTCTCACCCAAAACATCCGTCATCCAGAATGATTTTAGTTAGCCAGATGTCTTCTTTTCATGGATGTGGCCATGTTTCCCACAGTCCCTTCAAGTTTGTATATAGCCACCAGTCCTAGCTCTCAGTGTTCTGTGCTGTTATTTAGATCTAATTTACCCTTAAATGTCCTCTAGCAGCACAGTAAGCATTGGAAGTGTTGGTAATGCTGCTATACAATACTGACCTCCCATGGTCCAGAAAATTCTCTCATTTGAAACCAGTCAGATCCTGAGAGTTCCAGACTAAAGGGCAATGTCTAGACTGCATTCCTCTCTCAAAAGAGGAATGCAAATGAAGGACATAAAAAATGCAAATGAAGCATGGATTTACATCTCACGCTTCATTTGCATAATCGCATCCGAGAACTATTTCGAAAAAGGGTTTTTCAGGAAAAAAAAAACACAGTCTAGACAGGGTTCTTTTGGAAAAAAAACTTTTTTTGAAAGAACCTTTAAACCGCATCTTTTCAGGAGTAAGGGTTCTTTTGAAAAAGAGGTGGGGTTTTTTTCAAAAGACCCCTGTCTAGACTGGTTTTTTTTTTTCCTGAAAAACCCTTTTTCGAAATAGTTCTCGGATGCGATTATGCAAATGAAGCGTGAGATGTAAATCCATGCTTCATTTGCATTTTCGATGTCCTTCATTTGCATTCCTCTTTTGAGAGAGGAATGCAATCTGGACATAGCCGAGAGGTTCAACCTGTACTTCCATTTATCTTAATGGGAGTGGAAGTTAAAAATGCTCATAAACTAAAGTTTGTTTCTTCCAAATATCAGACATTGTTTTTAAATGTTGTATCTAATCAGCTTCTTTACAACTAGTATAAATGACCAGTGTTGCTTTTAGCAACTCTAATAGGATAATTGCAACACGTCTCTGACAATCTTGGCTTACCGTATGGCTGTCTGAGAGCATGGTAAACTGTCACTCCATATGGCCTCAGTGAAGACTGGTAAATAACTTGAGGGTTAGATTCTGCAAACTTATTAGCCTTCACCACTGCCATCTTTGTCCAATCAGTAAAATAAACATTATGTTCAAAAAGGCTTATTCCATACGGATGAGGAACCAGTGTCCCTCCATGAGCTATTGTTCTCCTGCGACAAAGACATTTTAAAGTTACATGTAGAATATTGTAAAAAAAGCAATTTCACTTCATGTTGTTTTTGAACAAAAACAAATAGAACTTTACTAATGCATTAATTAGTTTCTACTTTTATATACAACCAACACATAAATGGGAGAGATTAACAATGGTCAAAGAAGTTAAGTTGATACAATATATGCAGAGTAGTGTCTCAGGGGAAATGCAGGGTGAATAATACAGAAAGCAACTCAAAATTACGAAGGGGATAAGAGAAGCAGAAAGTGGCCAGTCTCCATAGAAAGGAGATCAGATAAGTATGACTTGGGAAGGAGACAGAAGAGGCCTCAGAAGGTAAAAAGATAAAATGCCAAGACTGAAGAAAAGAACAATTCAAGAAGAAATATTGGAGAAGGCCACAGAGGCCTGCACAAGTTAAATGTAGAAACAGGAAGAGACTCAAAACCTTCATAAAATATGTGCATTCCATACAAATGCGGCAACAACATATGTTAGATCAATTACAGGAATAATGCAAAGTGTTTACTTCACTAAACAACACTTGACTCTTAAATATATTAACATTAGGGATATTAGATATCGGTTATTTTAGTAATCAGGTAGCTGCAACAATTTTTAGTGGTTACATGGGTACTAAAATGCTTCCCGCTGGTTTAAAAATCAGCTCCCTGCGCGGACCAACTCCCGCCTGCTGCACCACACAGTAGCCCAAACCAGTGGCCACTGGCTGCTCCAGCACCGCAGTAGGGTTGCCAGATGGTTGAAACAAAAATACCGAACACCTGTCCTACCCCCACCCCCAAAAAAAAACACCGGGGAAAAATTCTGTTGGAAAAAAAAGGGAGGGAGACTAAAGTTGTTGAGAAAAAGAAAAAAAAAGGACTCGAAGACTTATTAAGCAAAAAATATATATATATTAAAATAAAACAGCATGTCCCCTTTAAGAGTGAGTGCAGGGATAGGAACTGGGGAGCACTAAGACTCAGAGGAGTCATTGCTTCCCCTTGGTCTTTTTGCTGGCAGCCATTTTGTGCCAGCAGCCTTGCGGAACCAGGTAAGCATGGGTTCTGGGGATGTTGGGGCCAGAGGCGCTGGGGGGCGGGGGAAGGCAGGGCACTGAGTGTTTGTAGGATTGCCAGGTGCCCAGCTTTTTTGCCTTCTGGCTGGGGAAAAAAAAAATCAGAAAATACTGGTCATCTTACGTGTCCGGTATTTTCTGAATTTTTTTTTACCAGACAGGAGGCAAATATACTGGATTGTACAGGTGAATACCAGACACCTGGCAACCCTACACCCCACTGATACAGAAGCAGCAGCATGGGGTGGAGGGTTGAGGGCACCAGCTCCTGCTTCTCCACCCTCTTTTCTGTCTCTGATATAGAGGCAGCAAGAGGGTGTGTGCATGTAATCATTCAGAATAACTGATAAGCAGAAGTTTATAGGTTAATTGTTTAAACAACTATACACTAACATTCCTAAATAACAGTAACTTGGATTTATGACTGAAGGGTCTTTTCCTTTATGAAGACCAAATTCTATTCCCCCAGAGGCCTCTAATCATGATGAGATGGATGCTGTGGTTTTCTAGTATATTATTCAGGAGGATATTAAACTCTATTTTAAGAGCACTTTCAAACTACCCCATTGATACACTACAAAAATGCATAATTTGAACATTAATGTAAGATACTCAATGTTGTAATAAGTGATAAGTTTTTATCTTAGAAAAACAGAGATTATTCTTTC